TTTCTTCTAAGGAGTACCCTGGTTGCACTTCTTCCAAGATAGACTTGTTTATTCTATTAACAGCCAATGAGATGTTCAGTAATCTTCTCCCACACCACAATTCAAAGGCATGTATGACTCTTCTATTATCCTTAATCATTGTTGAACTTTGAGATATATAAGAAGTGATGGGAAATATCACAGCTTGGATCATACGCACTTTGGTTTTTAAACGGACATATTTATTCTTTAGCAATTTGGTTTGGTGTTGGAGAGAAGATTTTCCCAACACAACACATGTAAATTTCTTAACTGCTGCGATTTGCATGCAACTCAATGGCATATAACAACAACAACAACAACCATGAATGCTGATTGTGGAAACAGGTAAAATGAAATTGATGACAAGTCCATCCTTTTTTCCATCTATCATAATATTTTCTATTAGCCTAGTGCTGAGGATTTATTGATATTTACATGTAATCCATATTGAAGACTAGGGCTTTGAATCTTCTCTAGCAAGTGCTTCAAGTGTTCTTTATTTTCTCCAAGCAGGCTTGTATCATCTGCTTAACTCACATTTTTAATTAGTTTTCTCCAAACCTGATAACACATACTTTTTCATATAATTCAACTTCTCAGATTATTTTTCTCAGCCTACAGATTGAACAGGTATGGAGAAAGAGTCTGATGCCAAGCTTTCATAATTTCAAACTGTATGATGATACCTTGTTCTGGTCATACACCAACTTCTTGATCTATGATTATGTTTCATATGAACACATTTAAGTGTCCTGAGATTCCCATTCTTCTCTATGTTATTCATAACTTGTTATGATCTTCATATTCAAATGTCTTTATGTAAGTCAATAAAATGCAGGAATTTCTATCTTCCTGGTATTCATTTTTAGCCAAGAGCCTTTTTATTGAATGGAGGAACAGATGAGTAGAAATTAAGGTAAAGATAAATTAGATGGTGAAAAAATGTAGTTGCTGTTGTTCATTGTCATTAAGTCAGTACTACTTTCTAATTGCCAGAACCCTTCAATGAATTTCCAGAGGCTGAAATTGCACAAGAGTAGATTGATTACCCATATTTCTCCTGAAAAACAGCTGGTGGATTCCAACTGCTTGCCTTCAGGTTGACATTGCAACTCCTTACTCACTAGGACACCAGAGTTCTTTCAAATGTAATTAATAGAGAAGAACTGAACCAAAAGGTTGTCCCAGCCCTACCATAACCAGTAGAATGGAACCAAAAGGACACCCTGGCTCCATTTGCCATAGTGGAGGAGAAGCTAAAGTCATCCTGGATCCAGCACCTCTAATGGCCCTGAGTGAGTGGAATTAAAAGGATGTCCCTGACTGAATGGTTGAAGAAGAGGCCTCTGTTGAGAATTTAGACTTCTTTAAGGAACCTACAGAAAAATGGGCCTGCCACTGTTGGGCCAAAGCCACACAAAGTGAGAGACCTTATCTCCCTTCTGCCCATGGATGACAAGCCAAGAAGATTGTCACCATATTGGGGAACCGAGTGAGAAGAAACTAAGGTAATGTATTTCTTAGTACACTTCCTAAACAACACGCCTCTGGAAACTATGAACTTTGATAAATGACGAAAGTTCTAGAAAGGCTTCTGGCATTTCGTACATGGGGTCTTTATGAGTAGTGCTTGACTCGACAGCAATCAACAACAATATATGGTAAATGTCTCCGTTTCCTAAGTATAGACAAAATAGCTCATGGAAAAACTCATTGCTTGCTCTGGTGGGGATGGCAAAAGAAAGATAAAGGCACCTTGAACTTTCCCACACTGCCTTAGGAGGGAGGGTGGGTTTTGAAAATACCTATTGTGTGAGAATCTGTGTATGAAGTTTCTCAGAGAAAAGTGACTTCCTTTGCTTGCTATGCCAAGAGACCATGTGAAGCACAACAGATACTGTCTGACTAGAAGACCAAGCCTGTGAGACAAAAATACCTGGGCTCCAGATTTCCAACCACAAACAAATGGATTAAGAAGTTGTGGTACATTCATACAATGGAATACTACACAGCACACAGGAGCAATAATTTTGTAAATTACTACCTAACTTTTTTTTCCTATTTAAAGCTTACAATTTAATGCTTTTAATAGAATCATGGGGCTGTATGACCAGCACTATAATCTAATCGAGAACATTTTCACACATATCTTCCTCTGTGTGGAAACACTACATCCATTAGCCATAATTTCTCAGACTACTTGACATATTAATATTTCTGATTTTATAGAATTGCTATTTTGGATGTTGTTGTTGTTGTTGTTATGTGCCGTCAAATCGCTTGCGACTCATAGCGACCCTATATACAACAGCCCTAAACTCTGCTCTGTCCTGTGCCAATCGCACTGTCTCTGCCACTCCCATTCCAATTATCCCAGTCACCAAATCAATCCACCTCATAGAGGGCCTTCCTCTCCTGCGTCATCCCTCCACCCTCCCAAGCATGATGCCCCTCTCCAAGGACCGGTCTCTCCTCACAACATGTCCAAAGTATGTTAGACGTAGCCTCAGAATCTTTGCCTCCAAGGAGCCACCCGGTTTAAGCTTTTCCAGGACAAATCTGTTTGTTTTCCTAGCAGTCCATGGTATTCTCAATACTCTTCTCCAGCACCACAGCTCAAAGGCATTAATTCTCCTTCTATCCTCCTTGGTCATTGTCCAACTCTCTGATGCATAACAAGTGATTGCGAAGACCATGGCCTGTATCAGATGCACCTTAGTCTCCAGAGAGACACCATTGCTCTTCAGTACTTTGGAGAGGTCCCTAACAGCAGACTTTCCCATGGCAATGCGCCTTTTAATTTCCTGGCTGCTGGTGCCAAGACTGTCGACTACAGAGCCAAGCAAACTAAAGCTCTGTACAATCTCAATCTCTTTACCATCCATCCTGATGCTGCCAATTGGTCCAGTGGTGAGAATCTTTGTAAGAAGTCATCATATTGTCTATTGTAACTGGCTTCTTTAACTTAACACAATTATCTTAGTTATTTAATGCTTCTACCAGAAATATCACAAGAGGAGGGCTTTAACAAACAGAATTTTATTTTCTCATCGTTTGACTTTGAAAGTCACTGTTAGCTCCTTGCTTAATCTCTTTTATATCTCAAAAGAAATCTTCTCAAAGCATATCCAATGCCAATCTTATCCATTAACATAACAAAAACAACCTGTTCCTATATGAGATTATAGCTATTGGCACAGAGGTTAGGAATTATAAAACATTTTGGGGGGACAAAATTCAATGCATAATTTTTCCCCCTTTATTCCTCTAAAATTAATATCCTTGCCACATGAAAAGCACATTTAAATGTTTTGTATTAATTCCAAATTAAAATATCAACTTCTGAGTCATTTAAATAAAATACCAGTAAAATATTAGACATACAACTGTTGTTGTGTACTGTTGAGGCAGAATCAATGTACAGCTGACCCTCTGGCAATTTTTCAGAGTCAGTTAATTGCACAGGTGGAGATTACTCATTCTTCATCTGAGAACCTAGTGCATCCTAAAATACAGATTATCTGCTTCTAAAATATAAAGTTTCCCAAGACTGTAAATCTGAATCTAGTTAGTGGATTCAAACCAGTGGAGCTTTTAATTAGTAGCCCAGTGTATCACCAGAGCTCCTTTTAGATTTTATCATGAGGCACCTTAAAACTCTCCCAGCCTCCATCCATTACTCAATTTCAAAACCAATTCTACACTGCAGATATTTGTTACCTCAATACCAAATTATTTCTTTACTAATTAGTGTTTCCATACCAGAAATATTTCAGAAATGTTTTTCATTGTTTTTATTCAAACATATTTCTATGTCGTATAGCTCTGGTATGTCCACTTGCTGTACAGAGGTAACTTGTGGTTGTTGTGAAGCTGAACACTGTGACACTGATGTGTCAAATGCGTTAATGGTTACCCATGTGGACTGTGTTTGGTGGAGCTCCCCAATTAAAACAAGCTTGGAAGCAGGAGTGGCATCCACTTCCATAATAACTTGCCTCCAGACACGTTATGAACCTGGAGAAAGGATGAAAGTCATGCAAGTGTTGACGACTTTCATGCATAGGGTTGCTATGAATAGTCTACGACTCGACAGCCCTTAACAGCTATGACACCAACATAGAGATCAGTTGGCCTTGTGGAGAGAGAGTGATGCTACCAAGCCAAATGTGGATGGCTCCTAATCTGCGGCCTTCAGGCTAGTTTTTAATTGTTTTTATTCAAACATTCTTCTAGGTCATATAGCCCTGGTGTGTCCACTTGCTGTACAGAGGTTACTTGTGGTTGCTGTGGAGCTAAACACTGTGACTCTCTGGTGTGTCAAATGAGTTAATGGTAAGACAACTATGAGATATCATTTCACCCCAGTCAAAATAGCAAAATTTAACAGAACAGCAGGAAACAAATACTGGCGAGGTTGTGGAGAAACTGTAACCCTTTTTCACTGTCGGTGGGAGTGTAAAATGGTGCAACCCCACTGGAAAGTGGTATGGCGCTTTCTCAAAAGGTTGAAAGTAGAGATACCATTTGACCCAGCAATTCCACTACTGGGAATATACCCAGAAGAGACCATAACTGACATCCAAGCAGATATATGCACACCCATGATTATTGCAGCTTTGTTCACAATAGCAAGGAGTTGGAAACAACCTAAGTGCCCACCAACAAATGAATGGATAGAGAAGCTGTGGTATATTCACACATTAGAATACTATGCTGCATTGAAAAACAAGGAACTCATGCAATATTATTCAAAATGGTTGACTCTGGAGAACATTACGCTGAATGAAATAGCCCAGTTACAAAATACAGATACTGCATGGTGCCACTATTGTAAAAGAAGACTGACCTTGGGTTTGGGGAGAGACTGAGTAAGATCGGTTCCATAATGTATACTGCACTGAAACAGAGGAGGGAGATAACTGTTTAAAAGAGATATGTGTGCTCTACAGCGAGGTGGCCAAGCAGCAGACGCAAAGATGCAGATCTTTGTGAAGATCCTGACTGGCAAGACCATCACTCTTGAGGTCGAGCCCAGTGACACCATCGAGAATGTCAAAGCCAAAATCCAAGAAAAGGAGGGCATCCCTCCTGACCAGTAGCATCTGATATTTGTGGGCAAACAACTAAAGGATGGCCGTACACTCTCAGACTACAACATCCAGAAAGAGTCCACCCTGCATCTGGTGCTGCGTCTCCGTGGTGGCATTATTGAGCCTTCCTTGCGCCAGCTCGCCCAGAAATACAACTGTGACAAGATGATCTGCCGCAAGTGTTATGCTCACCTGCATCCCCGTGGTGTCAATTGCCTCAAGAAGAAGTGTGGACACACCAACAACCTGTGCCCCAAGAAGGTCAAATAAGAGCCCCCTCTTCACTGGCTCCCTTGCCTCTTGCAGGTGGCCTTCTTCTGAGCCCCATGACCCTGAGCCCTCAATAAAGTCTCTTTCATTGAACTGAAAAAAAAGAGATATGTGATTAGGTATTCTGTCATGACAGGAGTCTAGAGCGATGGCTACATGGTGGAGTGGACCTGGGGGAGGTTTTGTAAAACAATGAAAGAATTTTTCTTTTATTTTCCAAGAGGGTAGTGTTCTGGAGGGAAGGCTTGGGAGGGGAGAAATGTGCAACAATGAATGAATGGAAATCCAAAGTCTCTGTAAATGTTTACTGAAATTAATAACAAATTTAAATTTAAAAAAATAAGTTAGAGTAAGGATGGCAATGGATTTATAACTGCTCAAGGTAATAACACTATATCGTGGCATAGAGGTGGAAGAGTGGAAATGTATCCACATTTACAACATTCCTCTTACCAAAACCATTTATGGAAAATAGGTACTGCATTAGAACATGTATCTCTGTATTGGAAATGATGATATTGTTAATACTTCTAGCCTTAAGCTTAAAAGATTATAATGTCCAAAATTATTTGTTATACATTTGCTTAACCAGAGAATGGCCAAAATTATTGGGGCAGGTATTGCTGCCAGTTTAGGGCCTATGTCAGGAAAAGGAAGTCTTACTCATAAACAGTGCCACCCAAAGGTAATAAAGGAGGTCAGAATTGCTTCCACTGTGGAAAGCTGTGCCACTTCAGTAGACAGTGTCACAGATGAGTGCTACAGATAGGCAAGGGAGTAGAGAAGACGCTCCCACTCACTTGCTTTAAGTGTGGATCTGAAGGACACTTGGCCAACGGTGACCCACATCAGGTCCTCGTGGCTGACAGGACTGACAGACCCAAGCTCCCAGCTGGGAACAAAGGAGGACGCTTCCACTATTTAGATCTTCCCAGAAGAGCTGTCAGCGAGCATTAACTTTTCTGGTAAGTATATTCATTTTCTCCTGGACACAAGAGCCTACTATTTGGTCCTAAAAGCCTTCTGAAGTCCCAACTCTTCTCACTATTTCTTAGTTGTTGGATTTGATGGAAAACCTCATAAGCAGTTCCTTACTTCACCTCTGCCTTGTATGTGGACTTCTGAGCTGTAAAACAACCCAGTGGTAGATGGAATTTGCTCCAGGACTTAAGAACAATAAATGACATAGTTGAGCCTCTACATATTGTGGTTCCTAACATTTATACTGTAATAGACAAAGTGCTAGTTAATTGGCCTTTTATTTTAAGAACTATCTTCCCTCTGTAACTTGATTTGTAACACTATTAGAACCTATACTTGGAATATTAATGCTTTTAATTTTTTTTTTTAGAGAAACGTTTTTTAATGGGAAAGCTCAGCACACTCCAGCATGGGGCATAGCCTGGAGTTGAAGCAGCAGGGACAAGTAGCTGACTCCCACGGAGCCTCATATGATGAAGAGGATGGCCTCAGACAGAGCAAAGCCCAGAATGGCATAGGAAAAGAGCTGCTGCTTGAGAGATGGGTTCCTGGCATAGCCAATGATCAAGCTGCCAAACACTGTCCCGATGCCAGCCCCTGAGCCAGCCACACCAACTGTGGCAGCCCCAGCACCAATAAACTTGGCCGCTGTGTCAATGTCCCGGGAGACAACACTTGTCTGGAACTCCCTTCTGGCCACCTGGAGTGGGGAACTGCTGCTGCTGCTGTAGGTAGGCTGGTTAGATGGGATTTCTGGCCTACTCAGGAAAGAATCAGACACAGGCCTAATTAGACCTCTGGTACAGCAACGAATCAGAGCTGGAGAAATGAGTAATGCCCCAGTAGTCTGCATATTTTCAGTCTCTTAGCTTTAGCTCTGGGTCTCAGCGCTCAGCTCCACCACCCTGCTATTAATTTTTGACTCATGTACTTTTAACTTGTTAGTTAAATTTGTGTCTTCTAGGCTGCAACAGTTCCATGATGCATCTTCAAGGATATGAACATGTGTGGCTAAGCACTTAAAAGTGCATCTAAATTCCAAAATCAATCTCCACAATAGCCTGTGTGTTTCCTAGTGCCAAAGGGGCCCTTTAGAGTAGTGAGAGAAGATCTTCACCCTGAAACCCACAGCGTCACTTTTCAGCAGGAAGTTGCTAAGAAAATATGCCGTCCCCCTTTCCATATGAATCAGGGTGAAGTCTCTCTCTGGGAGGAGTGATAGGGAATGGCAAAGGACACACTGACAAAGGAGATTAATCAGAACTGGCTTTGACAAACATTGTGGCAATGGGACAATTAAAACAGACTTTCAAGGGCGGCGGAAAGAGGAATGAAGTGGATGGGAAGGTAGAGAAAATAGTGCAACAATGAATGAATGGAAAACCAACATCTATGTAAATGTTCATGAAAATTAATAAAATTTAATAAAAATTTTTTTTAACTTTAAAAAAAATTTTTTTATTGGGACAAAGCATATTTGGAGTACAAGGAGGTGAGGGTTGGGGGCAGAAGGGTGAGGATGGCCAGGGATGCAGTTGGAGAGCTGCAGAAATTTGTTGGTGGGGGGAGCAGGTGAAGGAAATGAAAATGATCCAGTGGGGACCAGATGCTACAGGAAAATGACAAGCATTTTCCAATGGTAATTAAATCAACTGTCTTATTGATTTGGGAACTGGATGCCGACTCTCCGGCTTCTTCATGCTGGACAGGGGTGTTGATGTGAAGGGGGAAAGGGAGGACACTTTATCACCTTACTGGTGAACTTGGGTTAAGTCTGCTTGCCTTCTTGTTCTGTTAGAAGATCTTTTCCTGTCATTTGCTCCCCTCTGGACTGCAAAGTGGTGAGTCCAGTGGGGATGGCTGGTTGAACCCAGAGGCTCCATCCTCCTTTGCTTCTTTAGCTGGCAGTTGTATTTCCTTTTTGTCACTGGCACTGGGTTCGGGGTCAGGTCTGAAGTAAAACTCAGTGGTAAGGTTACCTGTAGGAAAGGGAGCAAACCTAGAGAGAACAAACTTGTGAGTTACAAATAGAGAGGTTTTGGGGGTGTTGCTTTCAGATTTACTGGGGGAGAGGGTGGCAGAAAGTAGCCTAGATAAAATTCTCTGGATACCCTAGGCATTTTTTTTCCTACCCAGAAGTCAGATGGCACAGTCTGGGGACTGAGGAGCTCACCCTGAGGGCCATGATGGCTTGCCCCGAGCTGAGGGCCGAAGACAGCCCGCCCTGGGCAGAAGGCCGTGACGGCTCGCCCCGAGCTGAGGGCAGAAGACAACCCGTCCTGAGCAGGGCAACACCCCCCATGGGCTGGCTGGTACACTCCCCTCTACTTGCCCCCACACTAATCTGGTTCCCTTACCTGAAGACAACCCGCCCTGGGTAGAGGGCCGTGACAGCTTGCCCCAAGCAAAAAAAAGGTTTTTAAAACTTTGAAAAAAATGCGCTAAATGGCTCCGTCTAACTTACTTCGGACATGTAGTGAGGAGAGACCGGTCCTTGGAGAGGGACATCATGCTTGGGAGGGTGGAGGGACGGCACAGGAGAGAAAGGCCCTCTATGAGGTGGATTGATTCAGTGACTGGGATAATTGGGATGGGAGTGTCAGAGACAGTGAGATTGGCACAGGACAGAGCGGAGTTTAGGACTGTTGTACATAGGGTCGCTATGAGTCGCAGGCAACTCGATGGCACATAACAACAACAACAACAATGGTTACTCATTGCAGACAGTGTTTGGTGGAGCTTTCCCATTAAAACAAGCTTGGAAGCCAGAATGTCATCCACTTCCATAATAGCTTGCCTCCGGAAAACCTATGAACCTGTAGAAAGGACAAAAGAAAGTCACACGAGTGTTGAGGACTTTCTTTCATAGGGTCACTATGAGTCATCTAGAACTTGATGTCACTTAACAACAACAACAATATACCGGAAATACCATAAGTGGATGGCTTTAAATTTATTTCAAATTTGAAATAAATTTTGTCACAAGTTAGGAGGCTAAATGTCTGAATTTACAGGCTCTGCAGGTCCTTGTTTTTGTTCCTGGGCAATCCTCATATGGTTTGGTATGTCTCTTTTCTTACTTGTACTAGGTTTTGTTTTTGTTTTTTAAGCCTGTCTCAGAATAGATTAGCTCAAGCCACAATGTACATTAACCCCGTCTCATTAACAGAGAAAAGACAACTCATTCCCAAATAAGATTATAACTTTACACATATTGTTCTTGTTGTTAGGTGTAATTGAGTGCTTTCCGACTCACAGTGACCCTGCCTCAACAAAATGAAACCTTGAGAGAAAGTCTGATCCTGCACCATCCTCATAATCTCTACTGTATTTAAACTCATTGATGCAGTTACAGTGTCAATCTCATTGCAAGTCTTCCCCTTTTTCACTGACCCTCTACTTTACCAAACATGATGTCCTTCTTAGTATGTAAGATGGATTTTCACCATCCTCACATCCAAGATGTCCTCTGACTGCACTTCCTCCAAGACAGATCTGTTTGTTCCTTTGGGAACCCATGGCATAGTCAATGTTCCTCACCAACCCCACAACTCAAAGACATCCATTCCTTGTTCTTCTTGTTCATTGTCCGCCTTTCACATACACATGAAGTAAGTAAGAATACCATCATCAGGCACATCTTGATTTTTTTTATACATATGGAATACTTTATAGATTTATATGTCATCCTTGCACTGGGGTCATGCTAATCTTCTCTGTATCATTACAATTTTAGTATATGTGCTGCCATCACATCTTGATTTTTAAAATAATATCGTTAATTTTTATCACTTGATAGTAGACCACAGACACAGAGGTTAGTAATCATAATATATACTTTGAGTAGGGACGTAATTCAATCCATAACAATAAAATTTTCAAGGTTCATCCATGCTGTGACATATGTTGATTTCCCCCCCCCCAATGAATTGTATGGCTATAAAGAGGAATCCTGGTGTTTAGAAAACATGCTTGACTACTCAATGAAATATTGGTAGTTCAAACCCACCAGCCTCTCC